AATGATTATCCTAATTATATTTTAGATTTTTTATATTTAAAATTAGATGTTTATCATGTATTTGATTGTGTTTATCTGAAGTTAGTTATACGAATTCAGATATGGGATGGAATCGGATAGGGATGAAATCTGGTTTAAGAGTTTTAAGAGTTTTTAAGAGTTTTAGCCAAATGCTTTATAATATAGTATAGATATATATATACACGTACAGAGGTTCAAACAAGAACATATTTATTTTATGAAAACATAAGAACATCCTTATCACATATGATAATATATATCTGAATGTATTTGGTGATGTGTAGATGACTTGACCAACGACCAAGGTTGCCAAAAATTGTCTGCGTGTTTGATTTAGTATCACATGTGTATCATTAGTGATAAATTTTTACCAAATGTGATAATACAAGTCAAGGAGCCTAGTAGTGTGTGGGCAACTGGGCCCACAACCTAAGTCGTGCTAATGGATGTTTGGGTCTCTGATTTAGTATCACATGCATGTGTATCATATGTGATGAACCATATTATCACATGTGATTGATTATATTAAAAGAGTGTTCTTGTGTTTTCGTAAAATGAATGAGTTCTCGTTTAAAATTTTCTATATATAATAATAATAATAATAATAATAATAATAATAATAATAATAATAATAATAATAATAATAATAATTTGTATATACTTAAAAACCAGTTTTTATGTGTTAATTAACTAACACATGTGAAAATGTACTTATACACTGTCGTTTCATATGTACGATGTTTAGGAAAAATCAAAACAGTGTTTAACATTTTAGATATGAAACAATATATTTTTCACACATGTTCCATATTTGAATGATTTAATGTGCGTGTTTAGTAAAAGTAGAACTATATACAAGATGTTTAGTGTTAGGAAAATTACATTTACTTACAAATGTTTGTTTCTTACGAATTTCAGCCTGTTCAATGGGGAAAAGTCAATATGGTTGAAGCAGAACGACGATTGCTAGCCAACGCTCTTCTTGATTTCTCCAACCAACGATTTGTTCTTCTTTCCGAGTCTTGCATTCCCCTATTCAACTTTTCCACGGTTTATTCCTACCTAATGAACTCCAACCAAAACTTTGTGGAGTCGTATGACTTAATGGGCCCTGTCGGCCGAGGACGCTACAACCGAAAAATGAATCCCACCATTAAACTCCACGACTGGAGAAAAGGGTCGCAATGGTTTGAAATGGAACGGGACTTAGCCATAGAGGTGATCTCCGACAACACATATTTCCCAGTTTTCCAACACTACTGCAACGGCTCCTGTTATGCAGACGAGCACTACTTGCCAACGTTCGTTACCAAGAAGTTCGGAGGAAAGAACTCAAAACGAACATTGACTTTTGTTGACTGGTCAAAAGGCGGACCCCACCCGTCACGGTATACAAGGAACGACATAACGCAACAGTTTTTGGAGAAATTAAGGAGTGGCCGCCATTGTGAGTACAATGGTAAAAAAGGCCACCCATGCTACTTGTTTGCAAGAAAGTTCACCCTTCATGCTTTGGACAGATTGTTGAGACTTGCACCAAAGACTATGCACTTCAATCCATAGGTATGGCATAACATGCCCTATATATGGAAACATATTTTTTAAAATAATTTTTGAATTTTTAAATCATTATTTATTTATTATATTCAAGAAATTGGGTTTAGGATGCATACAATTTAAATTGTATATTAAAAGCAAAGAGTTTTTTTTATTTAAAAAATGTTAATTTTTGTATTTTTGTTTTATTTTTGATATTAAAACATATGTTTAAGAAAATAAAACGAAGTCTCATACAATTGTGGTATTGTGATTACTACTTATTAGTTCAATATTATGTGAGTTAGACACCGAGTTGAGAATGTGGTGACTCGGACCCATGGGCTTTAAGGCCGTATTTTAACATATTAAACATGTGATTTTAAACCAGGCCCTTAATATTTTAGGGTTCTATTTTATATTGTTTATTGTATTTCATCAATGAATGTAAAACTATAGCCCACCTCGGTGTCTTATTAATTTCTATCAGAAGACAAAAGTAATACATCTTATCATCGCTTCTGTAGTTTGTATATATGTATATTTGTTATCTCATTTTGCAATGTAATAAAAAATTTAGATGTTACAGTCTTTCAAAAAAATTGGAAAACCCTATGAGGTCAGTCAACTTTCATCTATATCATAAATGAGAAATATTGGTTTCAACATAATTGACCATGAACCCCTTATTTGAACCCATATGGCAGATGTTGCTAGATACTGCATGGTTTCCAAGTTCGGACGTGACTTTGATAGTCAGCTTAACTTGTAAATAAAAGTTCAATTTTAGGACTCGTCTTCACGGATTGTCTACTTGCATATTCTTAGAGTTATTGAAGATTTTTCTTACGGTTATCTTTAAAATAATATAAGATTATTTGAGTTGTTCGTAAGTTAACTTACACCCATAACCCACACCATAGAGGGTGTGGTGGTGTACATTGTGTTGTATGTGGTGGTCAGTGCTAAGACTACAGTTAGTGATGATCAGTTAAAATCAATTTACAATAAGACAAATAAAAGAAAATTGAAATGAAAATGGAAAAAAACAACTCAATGAGACGTTTGGTGAATGGAACCCCTTCGAATTGTCAAGCGTTATGTTTGGTAATTTCCTTTTTATTTTCTTAAAGCTTAATTAGTAATCTATTATACTTTATTTTTATTATATAAAAAATACAAAATACACAAAAATTCGTAAGTTTAATCTGATTGTTTTTTTAATAAGTCTAATATTGCCATTATTTCTATATACAACATATTATTACAGTTTTAGCATATAGTAAGTTTATAAAAAATAAATAAATAAAAGCATATAATATAAGCATAAAGTTACGTATAGCAAAAGTAATTTAAATAATATATTCGATAAGTTGGATTGAATTATCATTTTAATGTGTTTATCTTTTAAAAGATAAAAATGTCATTAATTGTAAAATAATACAATCAAATCAGAGCCCTCGATAATTCCACTAAATTCTCATTTGATTTGGAGGGGTTGATAAGATTTAAGGCCCGTTTATCAAACGATTATTCGGGTAACCGTTTATTAAGTCACATTAGCTTGCCGGATAAATATGACAAGAACAAAAAGTCTTACCCGGTAAGGAAGAACCACAACTCTTATCACGGTTAACACTTACCGGATATATTGTTGCATATGATAGTATATTAGTGAACTAAAATCTTACACGATAGGTAAGTGATAGTGTAAAATTTTACTAGTAAAAGCTTACGAGTAAGAGTTTGATAAACGGTCCCTAAAAGAATTTTGGAATTGATTTTTTTTGTTAGATATTGAGGTTTGGAGATGATTAGATGATTGGATAATTTCTAAGAATTGTGTACAAAACATTTTTCAAATATAATAATTCGTCTTTATAGCATAACTACTTTAACGAAATAAAAAATCTGCTGAAAATACTTTAATAAATATTTTAATAACAATATTATAACATAAAAAAACCTGTCGAGAGATAATGTCACCTATTTTTGGTAAATTTTGATTTTTAAATTTATATCTTACAATTTTTTTTAAAAATGTATTAAAGACACTTATAAATATTATAAATTTATTTTATGTATATTGTATTTTAAAAAATGTATTAAACTCACTTATAAATATTATAAATTTATTTTATGTATATTGTATTTTAAAAAATGTATTAAACTCACTTATAAATATTATAAATTTATTTAAAGTATATATATATATATATACATATATATATATATATATATGTAACTTCACCTTTTTAGATTTTTCGTTAAAATTATGATCCTTTAATCATGGAACTCGATACATGACCATGATATTTGTATTCTTATATTTTTAATTTCATTAATTAAAAAAGTATTTAAAAGGTTTTTATAATTTTTAGCATAAAATAACAGAAAAAATTATATTTTCAAGAGATTATCCATTTTAACCTTTTTAATATAAGTTCTATTATTAAAATATTTAATATCCTAAAAATCTTTTAAATAGACTTTCTATAAAATAATACATTTAACTTTATTAGTAAAATAAATAAAATAATATTTTTAATTTTTATCTATCATTTTTTTAATTTTGAAGATGTTCTTTATATCTTTTTCCTATTCTTTTCATTATAGAGAAATTCTTGTAGAATCTGTTGTAACAAAAAGAATAGGTCAAAAATTTTGAAATTAAGTTTTATTTATTTTAAATAATTTGTTAAAGCTCTTCTGCGATTTAAATTCCATTTTTGACATCTTTATATAACGGATTCTGGTGCAACAATTAAAGAATTGTGAACAAAAATATAAATCATCACTTATTAGATTTTTTTAAAAATAATTTATCTTAATTCAAACCAAACTGATTCTATTTATATAAATTTCGAGATTAAATTATTCAACAAAAGAAGCACAAATTTGCACAATTGGAAGACGTCCCTCTTGTGATTTTCCAAAACCCTTCTCACGCGCCAAAAGTTTTCATGAAAAGTGTCTCTTTGTACCTTAGAAGAAAATTTTGTAAACAACCTATCTTGAGATCGTATTTTACGTGAGACATATTGAATTCATTTGATTTGTTGTGATTCAAACAAATCGATTACGAAACTAATAATAAAAAACTAAATTTAAAACCTTTAAAAACTTATTAATTTATATCAAATATTTTTATTATTTTAACTGATAGGTACTCTCGTCTCGGTGCAAAAATGGTGTCATTCTTTTCTTCTTATTTACAATAAATTCACATTTGATCTGGTTTTTCAACAAGAATGGAGTAATTCCTTAAAGTTGTTGTGTGATTCCTTTATGAATCTTTCATCTTTGTGAGAAAAGCTACAAAGTCGACCACACAATTTGGATCTGAGAGATTGGAATTAAAAAAAAATCCCAAAAGGGTTTATATCCAGGCCCTAAATTCAGAAGGTTTCACAAGATCACAAAACACAAATTTGATGCATTTGGACAAAATAAAAGTCGCAATTTTCCAATTTAAGATCGAAGAAAGGGAAAGCAGCACATCTTCTACTCCACGACCCAATCCCTCCAAACACGGCTACAAGATTCTTCATACGCCTCTTCTTCTTCAACCCAAGTGTCAAATACGTTCCTGTTCGTCTTCATACGCGGGAACCAACTGCATAAATATTGGTTTTTGTTCTAGATTTGGGTTTAATTCCATTCGGGTGCTCGTCTATTTTGAATCTCTCAACTGAAATCGAGTGTTCTCTTGTGGGTTTTAGAAGAAATTTTCGTTCTGAATTTTCTCGTTGGAGTATGACGGTCGGGGAGCGGCGGAACGGTAGGGATATCATTTACGATGCCGTTTCTGGTGCCTCTGCAGGTATGGACTATTTCCATTTTCGATCTATAATTCGGTTCCTAATTTGAATTATTTTTTGTGAAGAGAAGAAGAAAAAAAACTAGGGTTTTTGTAATTGCTTGATTTTATTTGCTATTTGCAGCAAAGGATCATGCTTAGAAATCAGATTGAGAACTAGATTTTCAGCATTGTTGAATTAAATTCATTCATATACATGTCATTTTCAATATCCAACCTAAAAGGGTTTTAAATTTTACAAGAATCTATCAAACTTCAAAAGGGTTTCATAGGGAGGGAAGCTAATAGATACGAATAAACAGCATTTCGCACGTGTCACTGTTTACAAGCTGCTACCGTTTCTCCGTGAAGATCGTATGAAGAATAAACACAAATTTTATAAGAGATTTTGCATTTCAAGTTTGTTGGTAGTCTTGATTTTTTATAGTAGTGGCAGGGGTTGTGAGACTTCAAGAATTTGGAGTGAATTTTAATGGTTGTTGCATTTTGAATGATATAGGTGCTATAGCTGCCACTCTCATGAGCCCATTGGATGTGATCAAGACCAGACTGCAAGTTTATGGCCTACCCGATGTGCCCAGGAATAAAGGTAATCACAACTCTTTTATGAATGTTTTAAATATTTTTCGCGTGCTTACATTGAATGAATGGACTAAGATGAAGCTTTTGTACTACTCTAAACATCAAACCAAACAGACCCAGGTAGGATATGAGGTAGGATGTATGCAGACTTGGCCCAAGGGATAGAGAGGCTGTTTCTGTGAAGACCATTGGCTTGAAAAACAAAAATTAAAAGAAATAAGTGAGCAATATACAGGTGAAAGTGTGTGTAAACAAGCAACGGGTACAGTAAACTAGAAGATGGGTTAGGGATGGATGTGAGGGAAATAGGTTAAACAAACAAGGAAACACAAAGCGCAACACCGAAAACTACAAATATAAGAAGAAAATCTAAGACTGGTGTACTGCGAACAAGTAAAAACAATAGTAGATGTGAAATTCGGAAAAAACTAAAACAACCTGCTATTGGACATAAGGCCCTAGTAACCTAACTGACACCATGCTACCCCTCTCACTGTCTCGACTAGGGGTGTGCAGAAAGTCATTCTATTCAAAATGTCAATATCTAAATTGGATCGATAGGTTGTTCGATGATAGTTCAAAGTCCCATAAAACCATACCAATCCAATCCAATTATCATCCAAGAATCAAGGATGAAAGATTTATTTCATGTGATATTTTATTTGGTATTTTGGTGTACAGGGCATGTTTTCTTCCTTATGATTTATGGTTATCGGTTATGTTGGTCGTTTGATTTATGTTGATATCTATTTATGGGTAGCGTTTTTAAATTAAATCTATGGATGATTTGTTCTAAATATTGGATGGATCCATCCAATCTCATAAATATCCACTTGTAATACCTAATGGATGGAACTGATCCAATCCATTTATTCATTGGATTGGTTGAATTAGTTGTCAAATTTCAACATCCAATGGATGATTGGAATCGATCGGTTCCATCCAAATCCAGTGGATGTGAACTGATGAACACCCCTGATCTCACCCTCTATCTACTCCAAAGCCTTTATATAAAAAGGTCTTGAATTGCATTATGTATTCTGTATAAGTCATTCAGTTATATTTGTTAATTATTAATTAGTTGTACGGTTGATTGAAAAGCCTGTCTTGGTTCCTGACTTTCAAAGTTATTGTTTTGATCAAATAATATCTTTTGAAGTGACATAATATTTGCTCTCTGTTTCTAATTACCATCATGATTTCATTCCATCAGGTGGTGATAGTATTATAGTATAAATAACACTCCATCTGTGCCAAAATTCTACAATTTACCTCTTGAGATGTCCCATAATAGATGCAATATATCCTTTTTGGGTCCCTGCCATGCATAGCATGGACTCCTGCATATGATTTGAATGTGTTTTATAAGGTAGTTGACAAGGGGGTGTTTGGATATTTAAGTAATAGTTAAACACTTACATTTCTGAGAGGTAGATAAAATTTGAACGTGTTTTATAAGCTGAGAATGGTCAAGCTCTTTGTGAGACTATTAAGAGTTGAGTGGGTCATTATAGTATTCAAAATCATAATTCGGTAATTACTGCACAATTTCTAGTTATTGGGATAAAAACAATCTAAAACATCTGAAAAAAAATCTTACTTAGAAATCGCATGTTGTAAGTGACAACAGAGCCAATAAGTGATATTTACAAAATGAAGAATGGAAAATGGAACAAAATGGTATAGTTGAATGTTTTGGTGGAAAATACAGAGTGTTCTAAAAGGTTCGTCATGGCTCCGTTGTGGCACACCGTGGTGCAAGGCTCAGATTCACGTTAACTCCCATGGCATGCGATGATCCAATGTGCAAAATTTATGAAGGACGTTATTTGATCTTTTTTTAGTTATTAATTTTTTATAACTTTTTAGTGTTTTACTTTTTAGTATGCAACCTACTTGTATATGATCATAGATTAGAGGTATGTGAATTTAAATTGCTCAATATCATTGACTTGTGCAATAAAAGTAGAAAACATGTCTACATATATAATTATATATTATGATATACAAATTTACCGCCATAAGTCACTTCTTTGGAAAATCTTGTGGCCTTCTCGTGGTTTCTAAGACTTGATCTAACCTCCATGCCACTCCATATAGAAACTTGAAAGTAAATAAGAGTTTATATTGTTAGTTTTGAACCCGCTCGCACTTCAGCACAACCCCCCCCCCCTCCCGCCTGACCCGGGGGGTGGTCTTCACAGAAACAACAGTAGAGGATAGGTTTGCATACATCTCACTCTCCCAAACCCTGCTTTCAAGTGGGGTATACCGAGTACAAAACTATCTTTGGCGGAAATAAAGAAAGATAATGCTCAGACCATGAAGCTAAAAGCATGGCCCTTTCCACCTTACATTGTTTTATATTTTCTGAACCCTTCGTTATCATTGATTAGGCAGTGTGATCGTCACAAGCTTTCAAAGCATTATAAGAAATGAGGGATTGAAGGGACTATATCGGGGCCTTTCACCAACGTTGGCTGCACTTCTTCCGAATTGGGCTGTGAGTATATTACTTAACCAAATCACCTCTTCATGTTCCTCTATATCAAGAACAAGCCTATTAACATTGTCTACTGATTTCATAACTGTTTCTGTTCTTTCAAACAATTTGTGTTTTCATGTTGACAAACAATTTTCTGATGTAGGTCTATTTCGCCGTTTATGGGCAGCTCAAAGAGCTTCTTGATTCACATGGTTAGTTACTTTTAAACTTGTTGATATCTTATGTTTTAAAGAAAAACAAGTAATTCTTGTTTTATATATGATTCATCGTTTTAATATCTGCAGGAGATGGCCATGGCCATCTTTCTTTTGGGGCAAACATGATAGCTGCTTCCGGTGCTGGAGCAGCCACGGCTATCACAACGAATCCGTTGTGGGTTGTCAAGACAAGACTCCAAGTAGGTTTCTCGTATTAATTGTTCCTAATAAAAACCAAAAATGACCTGATAAATCTCACTCGAAAGTGGGTCTTTTGTTAAGGGGGAGTGAGATGTAGGCACACCCGACCTCAATCTAAAGAGTAGAGCAGTTGTTTATGTGAAAACCCTCGGTTTGTCCAAGAGTAATTGCTTAGCATGCATTTGGCATTGAGATAGGACAAAACAATTGTTCAACGTTTGGTAAGACAGAAGTGGACAGAACAGATAAAATGACCAATTTAACCCAATTGAGTTGTTTATATATATTTTGATTAATTATGTAATTTATTAAGTTATAACAAAATACATCATTAGAAAGATTTCGTCAAGACGATTAAAGTGACACCAAAGTAAAAAAGTTTATGTAGTTTCCAAATTTTATTTTATACATTTTCTATATTATTTTTGTTTTATTAATATTTAATAAATTACATGAAATCAAAATGTAGAAACCGTATAAAAATAATATTTGGAGGATAGTAAAATGAAAGTTTAAAGAGCATAAAATACAATAAATAAATTTAAAAAATAAATAAAATGTAAAGAGGAATGCTTATTTGATGTTTTAGAAGAGAATTATGTTTTATTTTGAATTTAACATCGGTACCATGGGATGGGGGTGGAACATACCTGTTCCTATTTGTTCTACATAAAAGTCCTACCAAACGTGGGACATTGATCCTGTTTTGTTTTGTTGTGTCTTGTCCGGTGTACCAAACACACCCTTAAGAGTCTTTCTTTGTATACTCGGTTTGTGATTGCATTTTGTATTATGAATCCGGAATGCTTACTATGGGTTGGGTTCTCATTGTTTTAGACACAAGGGATGAGAGTCGGTGTGGTTCCTTATACAAGCATATCTTCTGCCTTAAGGCGTATTGTTCATGAGGAAGGCTTTCGAGGGTTGTACAGGTATGCTTCTTGAGTTGTACTCTTTCAAAACTCTTCTTTACCACTTCTTTGACCAATTTCTGTTTGTTACAGCGGCCTCCTACCGTCTCTAGCTGGGATCAGTCATGTTGCTATCCAATTCCCGGCCTATGAGAAGATCAAATTGTACTTGGCACAAAGGGGTAATACTTTCTATCTCATTGATTGTGCATCATGCATTGAAAGTTGTACCTTTTTGCTCTGGTTATCTTTGGTTCTAGTTCTTTAAGTAATGCTGATCATGTCTGTTTCAAGTTATCAGATCATACAACTACTAACGATCTAAGCCCCGGGAAGCTCGCGATTGCCTCCTCAATGTCCAAAATAGTCGCTTCCTTGATGACGTACCCACACGAGGTCACTTCACTATCTCCTTTATGATGTTTAGGCTATGTCTGCAATTAGCTGATAAGCTCGTTGTTGGCTGATAAACTAAATTACAATGTAAAATGACCAATTGAAAAATTAATCTTAAACATACGAAGGGTATAAACTAGATTACAGAAAATGCGCTAACTTATGGTTGCTAATCTGGAACTAAAATTTACGATGTGGGGTTTGGTAGGTGATTCGTTCAAGACTCCAAGAACAAGGGCAAGTAAGGAATCCGGAAACACATTATGCAGGTGTCGTTGATTGTGTAAAGAAAGTTTTCCAGAAAGAAGGGGTGGCGGGTTTCTATAGAGGGTGTGCGACTAATCTGTTGAGAACAACTCCATCGGCTGTCATTACATTTACGAGTTACGAGATGATTAATAGATTCTTACAGCATGTTGTACCGCCTCACAAGACCCCATCGAAACCAGAATCCCGCCATCTGCAAGGCGATGGTGGAAAGATGAAACCATCTACGGAGAATGATGTCGGTGATTTACGGACATCGAAAATGAGATCTAACCGTAGTACAAGAACTCTTGGGGAATCATAGACAATGATTCTTATTAAAGAAATCATCAATGGAAGAAAATTGATGATAGATGATGACGATGAATGATTTTAGGTGGCACCATTTTCTTATCATATTTTTGTTTTTTTCTTAAATAAAAGATCGAAACTTTATATGTTTTTTTTGGTTATTGGATTTTTTTTATTAACCTGGATATTCGACCCGTTATGGTTGGGGTAGGGAGTTTGAGTCTTAGTTGTTACTTTTTTCAGAGGAGAAATGACAGATTGAAGAGTATTGTACAAACATTGTAGCATGGTGTACAAGCTAATACAGTATGGTTATTCTGGATTGGGTAATATCTCTTCTGAAACTTTTGTTTGTACAAATTGCATTTTTGTTTCCTTTATGTGTAAAATGCACTTTGATAGGCGTTTGGTTTGTAAAATGAAATCTAGTGGAATTGAAATTAAATTCAATGATGTGTGATCTCACGTTTAAAAGAATTGAAATGATATCTTTTGAAAGAATTGGAAATTGCATGTTTAGTTGGTAGAATATAGTTCCGGAATTGGTATGTAATAAAAATAAATGAACGAAACATCCTTTTATGACATTTGTATACTTTCTTGGTTAAATTGGATCAATGTCTATATAGGGTTGAGTTCCGGTGAGAAGAGAAGTTATGGTGAAAAATGTAAGAGTTCATGGATCAATGCCTCTATAGGGTTGAGTTCCGATGAGAAGAGAAGTTATGGTGAAAAATGTAAAAAATTCATGGATCAATACCTATATAAATGTCAACACTAAGGAGGTACACATAGATGCACTAAATCAAATCCCTTTTTATGTGCAATTCATGAGTGGACATGAGATTAAAAGTGACCAATGGTTCAAATCTATTCTTATGTTTCTCGGTATACCCTCTTTTTCACACGATCTTTCGCCTAATATATGCTATGATAAAATTAATGATAACATTAATTGGCGGCCAAGGGAGGGGGGGATGGTGGTGGAAGTGGCATCAACGACGACAACAATGGTGGTGGGGACGGTGCTTGTGTTAGTCATGTATATAGTAGGCCAGCCCGTCTACAAAATTTTGTCACTGAAAGTTTTCATCTATTCCGGTGTTGGAGTTTTGAGTTTTTGCTCCTGTTTCATTTTGTGTTAATTTTGCTCCTGTTTTTGAGTTCATTTTTTAGTTCCAAATTTTAGTAACAGACTCCAGTTTAATCCAATCTTACAGGGGAAGACTTCCTTTAGGGTTTCAAGAAATTAAAGATATGACTGCTGTTTGTAATGGGCATCCCTGAATCTCTCTGTTGATAAGATCTTACTTTTGAGTTCTTCTGCAGGTACTGTTTCCTTCAATATCTTTAACCATTTCCTTTGGGTTTCTATCTTCTTGTGGTTTCATCTATCCTATCAAGACTTAATCTTTACATGAAGGTTCAAAGGGCTTCAATATATTCATTTCATGTTAACACCTAGAACGTTGCACTATAAATTGAAGCCTTCAAATGTGATGTTAGATGCAGACTTTGAACCGAGGCTGGGGGATTGTGGGTTGGGTAAGGTGATGCAGGGTTTTAATGGAAGGGCATTTGAGTATAATGCCCCCGAATGTACCCCAAATTTCAGGTATTTCAAAGTGTGTTTGAATTTGAGATATTGTGATTTCTCAAGTGTTTTAACTTTGGTTTGTATGTATGTAAAATTGCAAGTAAATATACAGAAAAGAGTGACATCTTCTGCTTTCGGGTGATACTGGGGTTTCTGTTAATGGGTAGAGATCCAAGCGATCCATTGTTTAGAAATGGAGAAGGGAGCAGGGGTGACATGGGGACGTGGTTTAGAGCAGTACTAGAGGCAGGGGATGGCAGGGAGGCACTTGATAAGAGTCTTCTGGGAGAAGAAATGGATAAGGAATATAGTATTGGTTTACTTTAAGCTTTGATTCTGCCAGATTTGACATTTGAGTGTTTCAGCTTGATCAGCAGGATAAAGAATATAGTACTGGTAGTTCTTTTGGATCTGGTAAGCTTTAGGAATAGCGATACATACATAAGAGCCAGAAAACTAAACCGAGATTCTCGAGAATCACTAAAGGTATTACACATACACCGTAATGCCTTTTTTGTATACACATACACAAGACTTGCACTTCATCAGCATTAACTTGCCAAAAGACTTCTATTAACATTCCATTTTGATGTCTTAAGAATTGTTTAGGTAAATAACTTTAAAAATTGAAATAAGATGTGGGTATTGAGGCTTGGATAGTTAAAAGCAATATGTATCTACAAGTCTTTTAGTCAAAGGAAGTTGCAAGTGCTTGACTTTTTGCTATGGTATGATTCTTTACTAATTCAACATTAATAATGGTGTTTGTCACAGTTTTTTTTTTCCGTTCAAATGCATGATCATTGCTAGAAAGATGACATTGTTGTAGGTCATTTTGACCACTAATTGGTAGATTTCACATACAACTTTTATTTTTTCCATGTTGACTTTGTTGTCTATGACCGAACGAACGACACTTAAGCAATTTTAATCACTAAGGTATTACGTGACATTGTCCAGAGGGATATCATGAGGTAATACAAAGGTATTAGTGAAATCTATCAAAAAGTTCAATCAGGAAGGAGTCTTACACATCAAATGTGGCATATCAAGAAGTTTTGAATGATAAAAACATGATTTTAATTTCTACTTTGTTTAAACATATATTTTAGAATTTTTGAATGAGAAATTGTATTAAATTTTCATTTTTGGATTTATGATACAACTTCTGAACCACCATGTATTTCAAAGATATTTTGCAAAAAAATGATATTTAAAAGTTGAATATATCCTGATAGAACCTTTACATCACGGCACATTGCACGGGTAGACAACTAGTATATTCAAATGCATCATAGCATTTGCTTTTTATCCTTTTCAAATAAGATGGACTAAACTATATGTTTTATTTAGAAAAAAACATATTTGTACTATGCAATTTTTCTTACGTTTATTTAAATTTCACACTCCCTTGTATTACACAGATACACAACTAGATATTTAAGAAATGCTTGCCAATTTATATAGTCCACTCGTTCTCGCATCTTATAAATAAACTCACACGTGTGTTTTATTTAATAAAAATCAATTTATAACTTATGTTTTTGTCTCTTTTAATTATAGTAGCTCCATTGCATTATGGCAGATACCCAACTAGTGTGTATATATATATATATATATATATAGAGAGAGAGAGAGAGAGAGAGAGAGAGAGAGAGAGAGATGGGATCGGTTGAAAACCACTTAATTATTAGAAACCGTGTAAACCAATTTCGACCAATAGGAAAATTTCTTTTTCTAATTAAATTTAATCATTAAGGGTAGAATTGTCATTTACATTGTTTTTAACGTAATAAAGGAAATGTTAGAAATGGTAATATTTAAATGTTTATTTAAATTAGTATTTTAAAAATTAAATATGGTTATTTGTTTTCTAGGTTTATTAGTAATAAGAATATGAAAATCGAAAATTATTATATTTACTGATCCACGAAATCAGTAACAGATCCTAACAAAGATTTATGAACCGGTAAAAATATAATATTATGCAAAACAGATTCATGTTTAGATTGGTTTGTGAAAACGTTAATTGAGGAGTTTGTTTTATAAAACGTATGTAGATTGGTTCGTGAAAATGTTCATTGAGGAGCTTGTTTTATGAAACTTTTGGGGATGAACTGGTTGCGTAATTTAATATTCTTGCATAATCTTGTTTTCTTATCAACAATTATTGATGAAATTGTTTCATTTTGTTTTAATTATTTTGGATGATTTTGTTCACTTAAAGGTTAACAAAACATATAATGGTAAATGCATTGACATTTGACTCTATGAAACGTGTTCAGATTCGAAAAATTTTGCCGATAAAATGGGTGCATAAAGAAAGTGAAACCATTTCATAATTGTTAAGAAAATGTTATGTAATTAGCGAACAGTGAAACAATTTTATTATCACAATTGTTAAGAAAATGTTATGTAATCAGCGAACAGTGAAACTATTTCATAATTAGATTGAAACAGATTTATCTACCAATAACATAAAAATGACAAATGTCTCATCTAGCATTAGGTTGATTTGTGTATTGATAAAACTATGAAACGTGTTCGGATTGCAAAAACTTTGTCGATGAAATGGGTGCATAACGAGAGAGAAACCATTTCATAATTGTTAAGAACATGTTTAATTAACAAACAGTGAAACCATTTCATAATTTCATTGAAACAGATCCATCTACCGGAAACTTGAAAATGACAAATGTCTCATCTAGCATTACGTTGATTTGTGTATTGATAAAACTGTGAAACCATTTCGTTCATGAAATGTAGTAGTAAATTTATTATTATTATTATTCAAAAGGTTTTATTATGTTAAATTGATTATAATATGTTTTATTTTTATTATTGATCTATTTTAATGATGGATGTTATTTTTTTTATAATATTTGAACATAAAATTAATATATAATTTTACAAATGATTTGTTTCATTAATATTACCACTACCAAAGTTACCATTTTGCCCTTTTTGGGATTATAAAATAAATTTTTAATTTTTTTAATTTTCTAATATAACCTAAACTAATTTTGACCATTGATCAATAAAATGGATGGATGAGATTGGTTTACACAAATGAGGTCGGTTTTCATTTGATCGCTCCTCTCTCTCTCTCTCTATATATATATATATATAACATATATATATATATA